AAAAAAAAAAAACAAACACAAAACCCCACCACCTTAAAAACCCAGACCCCAGCAAAAAGCAGCTCTGACCTCTTGTTTTCTCAGGTTTATTTTGCAGTTTATTCAGCTCCTTACGTGGAGCTGTCTGGATAGGCAGGGGTTAGAGCAGTGATTTGCAGGATGTGTGTTGAGGAGCATGTTCAAGTTTACCCCCCAAGAGGCAGAAGATAACACAGTTATAATAATGTCAAGTCCCATCTTTTCATAAAAGGTTTCTCAAGTGAAAGCTCTGTGATGGTGATTGTACAAACACAGGGCTAGACATGAGGTGTGTTTGAACAGGTACCTGTCTTCAGCTGGCCCCAGCTGTGCTCACAACCCTTGCCAGTATGTGGAAACGTTGCCAAATTCTGGAGCTGGAAAAGAGTGACAAAGGCAAACCAAGGCAGTGAATGCTGGTACAGCTACAGGCTTTAAAATCAGCCTTCTGAGTTTGTCTGCTTGAGTATCTGCCTTAAGTAGGCAAGAGAAAAACAGGTAATTTCTGATGGTGTTTTAATTTTCCATACAGAAACACAAAAATTGATGTAATAGATAAATTCCAAAGTTATGAAATATATAGTGAAGGCTGGAGAATGTAAAGTTGCAGGCACACTGCAGGAGGCACTGAACATTTTTGAGTGCAGTCAGGTTACTGGAAGCTTTCTGGTCTGGTGAGGGATGGTGGCCATACCTGCCCTGCAGCAGTCTGTCCTCTCTGGTGGCATTGGAGGAGAAGATGGCCGAGTGGTGTGAGTGGGGAGTTTGGTTTAAGGAACCCTGGTTCCTTTGGTTTTAAGGAATGCTTTTGGAAGCTGCTGACCTGATGTATGGTTTCAACAGTCAGCAAATGGGTATTGTTTTTCTTTTTGAACCTTGATTGATAATTTATCCTTAAAAAACAAAGTATTTTCTCAATCATCTTGATTACTGTGTGTCTGAGAATATAATACATTTGGGGCATGGTTAAATATGCTGGACACTTGATCTCCTCTCCTGGGTGTTGTCACTTTGCTTCCATGACACCTGATTGTGTTTGTATTTTTGTACTTTCCATAGCTTAAATTTGTAGTGTTGTAGGGAAGACCACATCTGAATTCTGTCACTTCTCTCCATTCAGATTTATGTGAGTAACAGAGAAGCTGATTCTGCTTTCCAGCTTCCACTGTATGTGTGTGTTTCCTAGCTTGTTTTCTGTAGTGCAGAGAAACAGTGTTCCTGATGTACCTCTTATGTCTTTGCTATCAGTGTTCTGCAGCTGGTCATTATTATATTTCAGAGCCATTAGCAGAGTTTACTTGCTAAATGTCTAAATCTGGCTCTTTGTTCTTTCTAGATTGTCTTTTCTCTTACTAATCCTGGCTTTACTAAAGGCCTCAACCTCTCTCTTTGACAAAATGTGTTCCAAGGGATTGATACCAGTTCTATAGTACTAGTCAATAAACTTTCATTGGAGGAGCAAGAATGCCTCTAATGATTTTAAATAAAATCCACCTGGGGGCCAGATTAAAAAATGCTGCCAATTCACACTTGGGTGTCTGTGTAGATTTAACAGCTGTTACAACAGAAACCACTTTGTGTATTGGTAAGGATATCAGAGCATACAGGTTACCCAAAGTTTTACTTCTCAATTTCATGCAATGCTTCTGCATGAGCATCCAGGAACACGTTTTCTTTTCCAGGGTCAGATCTATCAGCTTCCTATTTCTGAGAATAAATTGTATTACAAAATAGTAACCTGTTCTCTTGGTGAATAAAGGTGAACTGGATTGTTGATAGCAGATTGCCTTTAGATTTCTTACAGTTGGTTCAGAATCCCACACAAACAGGCTAAACCTTGAGGGGTCTGTTCCTTCTTTAGTGAAGGCTCAATGTCATGCTTGGAGGTGCTGGCTCTGAGATTATATAGATGCTACAAAGCACAAGTGTCTGCAAATGCAGTAAATACATGGAAATACAAGATTGCAGATGATACTCACTTGTGGCTCAAGCTGAAGACTTCAGAATCAGTCTTGTTAAGCAGAGCTGGCAAGTTACAGAATAGGGCCAAACCAGTGCTCTAATTGCTTTCTGAACCTCTGTGGTTTGAAAGGCTGCATGTATGCTTTATTTGCCTGGAAGTTAAGTGACTCTACTGACCAGCTTTTATTTTCAAGCAAATAACCAGTTAGATGTCATACAGTAAATTAACACCTGC